ATAAAATAAAATAGTTGAAATAATTCCAGATCACTCTAAAAAAAAATTTTATTATTACATACCAATTTTAGATTCTTTAAATATTTTTAATTTACCTTTATTGCTGAAAACATATGTGATGTAAGGCCACGATTTTGTAATGTTTCACGTATTTGTTCTGGCAATTTCGGTAATTGTTTTTTAATAGATTGAACATCGATTAAATTATATTTATTTTCCACATTTCTGTTAACGTATAAGCACAAAGGAGGTAAATTCGGTTCAGGCATAAAACGATAATCCTAAAAATTATTCATCTTTTTTGAAAATAACAAATACGTAGTATTTTTTTAAAATAAAAATTAGGACAATTAAATAAATATTAGTTTTATGATTATATTACATGTTTATCTTCCTTTTCACGCATAATAATTGTTTTCTTGCTTAGTGCATTCCACGCACGAGTCTCATTAATAACTTGCCCCCCTCTTTCTAAAATTGAAATTTGTCTTTTTATTTCATAATTAATTGCATTGTTAATAGCAGCTATACTTCCAATATTTTTCAATTCTGTACGAATGCCTAAAGGTGCATCAGGTTTACTTATAGATACATTTGCATCAACTCGCAAAGCTCCCTCTGCAAATGGAAAACGAAATACTTATTCATTATTAACAATTATTTAGAAAGAAACACTTTAGGAATAAACTAACCTTCCATTTTACATGAGCATGTGCCTAGTAATTGTAAAATGAAACATAATTCCTTTACAAGAGCTGCTGCTTCTTCTCCAGATGTTAAATCTGGTTCAAAAACTAATTCCATTAAAGGTATTCCAGCGCGATTGAGATCAATGAAACTTCTATCAAACATGAAAACAAAATAATATATAATTTAATTCTTAAGGCTCAAAATTTTATTTATTGTTAAAAAGAAAAACATTACTAAAACCTTCCAAGATCTTCATTATGCATACTTCTTCCACTATCTTGTTCAAGTTGTATCTGTTTAACTTTTGATGACTTTGAATAAGGTTCTTTGTGAACTCCTTGTTTAAATACATTAAATTTTATTCTTCCATTAACAGCCAAAGGCTTTTTTTGTTGTGTAATTTGGAAGCCTGCCTGTATACAATGGTTGCTTAATAAAGTATATGTAATGTAAAACTTAGGCACTTTCAATAATTATATTTGAAATACTATAATACAAAAATATTATATTATTAAAAATATATTTACAGGTAAATCAGAATAAAAGTAATGTTTTCTCTCAAACATTGAGACAGCATTTACTTCACAAGAAAGTGCCAACGCAGTGAAGACTCCAGCTTCTACACATTTTTTATTCAATACCTATAAAAACAATCCAATAAAGAATTACTGAATTATTTCCCAAAGATATTTATTATACTTTACTGGCATTGTTCCAGGAACTGCACAATCAAAAAGTGATACACAAGAATTAATTGGGTTACTAAAATTTGTAGAAGCTCCAGAAAATAACTT